TACTGGTTAGATTCAGAATGCTCGGAAACGCTGCTTTTTATGTTTTCTGTTTAACCAGATCATAGATTCTAGATATCTCCATCCCTCTTAATGCACTTTGCCTTTAATTTATTGGATGCTAATTTTGTCACATCAGAGCCGCCGCCTCCTCCTCCTTCTCCTCCTCCTCCTCCTCCTCCTCCTCCTCCTCCACCACCACCACCACCACCACCACCACCACCACCACCACCACCACCACCACCACCACCACCACCACCACCACCACCACACAGTCATTCTTCATTTAGTCCAGCCTGTCACCATTCTAGAGGGATATTCAGATCACTTAACACTGAAGCAAATCGTTACTTTTCTGAATGTCTCATTTGTTCTCTGTTACTTTGTTTTTCACTTCTAAAATTTTATTGTGTGTTTAGACTGGGGGTGGGGAGGGGCTGCCTTGCTGTGGAGGCCACTGACTTTGTGGTTAGTCCTCTCCTTTTATGTTCAGGTGGTTTCTGGGAATAGAACTCAGCAGATCCTAATGTCTTTTACCTGCTGAGCCACCTCGGGTCCTCTATATTTTGAATGGGTCAAATATCTGCTATCTCACTAGAGCGTTTACATTTCACCTTTTAATCCTTTTGCTGGTTGCTCAATCGAATGCAACATAAAACGCTGTCAGTATTACTTCCAGTATTTTTATCACACCCAAGACACACATTCACCACACAATGTTTATCGCTCATCCTGGCTTTGTGCTACCTCCCAGATTTGCTTTTATATAAATTATAAATGCCACAAAACATCATTTTATTGAGATGCCACTTTCATCTGTAGGGTTACATTTCTGTTCTTTATTCCTTCCTTGGTCCCATGCTTTTACATGGGTATTTTTTTTTTTAACCAGTGAAGCCTTTCTTTCCCTTAGGAGTCCACGTGGCACAATGCCAAAACCAAAAATGTCCTTTGGTGTTGCCCACAGCTCATCTATAATAGTCAAGCTTGTAGTCATGTTAGTTAGATTTTCTAGATTTATAGAGATATATTTCAGATGGATAGGCATTCTTCAAACCTTTCAAAGACTACATAATATGGCATTTAAAATGTTTTAAGAATTTAGGACTTTTCATGACAATGAGACACATCTGCTCCTGGCAGCTCTAATTACTTCAAGAGGAAGATGGGCATCAAAGAGGCTCCTTGTGGAGTTGGTTAGCCATTTGGGAAAGAAACTGCTCTTGCCTGGACTTCCTGATGAACTGCACATGCAGGATCCACAGAAAAATGACTGCTAAACTTGCCTAAAGGTGAGACCACCACCTTTCAGGGTTCCTGCTTCATGAAAGAGTCTGCCAGATATTCTACAGGCCACAAAAGAAAATGACTGACAAACTGCCAATACAAGCAGAACTGTCTTTGAAATTTCCTGCTTCATGGAAAAGTCTCCTGGATACTATGGGCCTGTAGGCTAAATATTGATGCCCCTATGGTTCAGAAGAACTTTGGGTGACTGTCCAGGTAGCCAGAAATCTCTGTCAATTTTAGAGTTTTGAAAGTTGCTTACAATGCACTTCCTGTTTACCTAGGTAATATTATAGCCTTCTGGAGTCTTTGATGGAGTTGAAGAATTTAGTTATGATAAAAGATAAAATATATATAACTGTAATTCTTACTTGATAACTGTTTTTTTTGTACTTTTACTATGTTAAAGTTAAAATCTTCCTTTTTTATTTAAACCGAAAGGGGGAGGTGATGTGGGATTCCCCTTTGTATGCTGTGGATATGACTGGTTAATTAATAAAGAAAACTGGCTTGGCCTGATAGGGCAAAAGAATAGAGGTAGGCAGGGTAAGGGCTAAGTCAGACAGAAGCCAGGTAGCCCCACCAGAGACAGATCCTGGTTGGCGATATACAGATTACTAGAAATGGGTTAAATTAAGATGTAAGAATTAGCCAATAAGAAATTAGAGCTAATGGGCCAAGCAGTATTTTAATTAATACAGTTTCTGTGTAATTATTTCAGGGATAAGCGGCCAGGAACCAACAAGTGGCTCTCTCCTCCTACACATATCTGTTCTCTTTAACATATGTATGTATTTAATTTCATTCACAAGTTATTGCCAAAGATTGCTTACAAAGCCTCTACTTGGGGAATCAGAACATTCTTGTCTTTGAAAGGAATCAAGAAAGAAGTATTGGGACACGGTGCTAATGACTACTACAAACACAAACATTCTAATTCCAAACATTTATGACCTTATTTACTGAACCCAAACCTCTAATTTGAGCTAACATTACCATGAAATGTAACAGCCCGCATGTGTGTATGTGTCTGTGTGTGCCTGTGTGCCTCTGTGTGTGTGTGTGTGTGTCTTGTGCAGTGCTGGGAATCGAACTCTCGGCTTCACGAACGAGAAGCACTCATGCTACCACTGAGCCTCAATCTCCTTTTTCATTCATACACTTTGAAACTAGGAAACCCGAGTTTAATCTTCTACTCTGAAGAGAAAGCGAATATGGGACATATTTAATACAAGTTGTGACATGAAATGACTGAACTAGTCAAAGCTTTACAGTCGTAGGTTGAGGTCTAAAATGTATAACGTACATAAAGGGCTTAAGACACAGAGTGTACGAAACTACCAGAAAGTTAACACATGTCTTCCTCCCCAAAGTCACGAAATACTGCGTCACTACCCACACAGGTCCTCCTGTGCTTCCTCACTATCAACAGTCCCTTTCAATCACCACAACCCTTGCTTCTAACACCCCACAGCAGTGGTTCCAACCTTCCTAATGCTGGTACCTTTTTTAAAATACACTTCCTCATGCTGTGGTGATCCCCCCCCCAACTGTAAGATTATTTTCCTTGCTACTTTGTAACTGTAATCTTGCTGTTTTGAATCTTAACATAAATTTCTGTGTTTTCTGATGGTCTTAGGTGACACCCAGAAGGGTCATGATCCCCAGGTTAAGAAACACCGCCCTGCAGTGATTTGCCTGCTTCCCTTCTAACAATTGGAATCACACAGTAAAGGTGCCTGTGTGTTTGGTTGTTGTTTCTTCTCTTTATTCAGCTTTTTTTGGGGGGGTGGTACTAAATATTGAATCTAACACATGATCGGTAGGCATTCAGACACAGAGCTATATTTCCCCCCCACACACACACACTTTTTATTATAAGACAGGGCTTCGAACTCACACTACAGCCCAGGCAGATATTGAACTAGCTATTCTCTTGCCTCAAGTCCCCCAGTAACTGGGATTACAGACAGATCTGTTCTGCCAGGCCCTGCAAGTCTAGCCGCTTTCACTTGGCGTTGTGTTTGTGGGTTCAGCACGTATGTATAGTCTGAAACTGCAGCTGGCTGGCTTTCTTTCCTGTGGTATTCTGTGAAGGTATTAGGATATAGTGACCCATTCTCTCTCACTCAAAAAAAAAAAATGTTGCTTTCTGCTTTAGTTTTTTTTTGTAACATAATCAAATCTTACTTATTATTTTCCCATTAGAAGTGGAAGTTGGATTATTACAGGAATGATTTCGTATTAATATTAATTTTCCCTTGCTAGGAAATATTCTTATTAAAGATTTTAATAACAATTGAGAGTATTAAATAATCACTTAACCAAGAAACATGGGCTCTTAAGTTGTGAAATACAGTGAACATTGTCAACGGAGACTGTTTCCTACTTTTTTTTTTTTTTTTTAGTTTTTATTGTATGTGTATGAATGCTTTGCCTACGCATGTGCATTTTGAGCCTGCTCAGTTTCCAAGGCAGTCAGATGGGGGCGCCAAGATTCCCTTGGACTGGAGCAGGTTGTAATTCCCCAATGTGAATGAAGGGACCCAAACCTAGGTAGGTCCCCTTGGAGAGCAGCTAGTGCTCTTTTTTTTGTTGTTGTTGTTGTTGTTGTAAGCACTGATTTATTAAAATGGAGGGAGCCAACGCATCTGCCACAAGCGGCAGTGTTCACTGTGCCGAATCATGAGCTTTCTTGTCATCACGCTGGTGTCACCAAGGAGAGGGATGAGGGTGCCGTAGGCCAGGATGGGTCTTACCCAACAAACCTAGGCACCACGTACCCCACAGGGGCGTTTTGATCCACCCAATAATCCACCTGACTAGATTCCCCTTCCTAGTACTTCACTCATTCATTACAACTTCCAGAACATGAGTTTGGGGGCCACTCCTGATGTGAGGAGTGCCTGTAAAGCAGCCACAGTGCTCCTGGGTTCTCATGACTGGCCATCTGCTGATCCTCAGAATCCAGCGGCCCCGGAGACCAAGCTTCTTCCCGCAGCTCCATATCTGGGTCCCTCCTCGGCCCCGGGGCCGCCGCGCTGCACTCTTCCCCCCTCTTGCCTGCCTCGCGGATGGTGGCAGCAGCGGCAACGGCGGCGGCGACTCAGACCCTGGGGTCGAGCAGCTAGTGCTCTTAACCAGTGAGCCATCTCCCCAATCCCGGGAGATTTGGGGCCCATGTATATGTACCTCTTTGAAACTATTAGCAACCAGTCCTACTGAACACATGGACGCTACCAGATTTCCAGGAGATGTGCATAGGACCGTTCTCATCTTCCCCAACATCTAAACACGGGTGAAGTATTTCAAAAGAAAAAAAAATCATGTCTGAATTGGGGAGTGCAGTAAATTCAAAACCACATGGACAAAAGATAAAGTAAATATTGATTTTTTAAATACTGAAGATATATAAAGGATATTTTGGATATAGAGTGGAAAGCACTGTTAAAATAGATATCACTTGCTTTTCGTCGCCCTATTTATTTAACATACCTACCAGAAATTCTAAAAGTTCTATGACCAACACTACAGCTCTTTGACTAACATTGCTTTACATCATACACCAGTCTTGGCAAAGTCACAAGAACGATGCACCTGGCATGTGACCTCATCCTGCAGGGTGAGGCTGGTTAGCCTTGTGCACCTCACTACCTTTGAAATTAAAACGCCACCGGCCACCGCCCAGCCCGTGGTCACCCTCGAGGCTGACTCACCCATGTTCAGGGCCTGCTGGCACATGAGCAGCGCGGCCTCGGGCTGCTGCTGGCGTTGAATCCCCCGCGCCTGGCACGCCATCCGGCGCAGCCGACAATACTCGGGGAAGCATCGCTCCAGCAGCCCGCTCAGCATCACGTTCACGCGCCGGGCCTGTGGCCGCCCGGGAACCAGCTTCACGCAGCGCTTGCACACCGTGAGCCCACTGGCCAGCGTCACGGGCTTGTAGAGCAGCCGCCCGCAGCGCGGACAGCCCAGCAGGTCGCGGGGCTCCACCGGGCCCGAAGAGCCAGCCGCACAGCCGGACCTTGCCACCTCCGGCAGCCACTTCTTGTGCAGGTCTAGGGAGCGCGCCAGGCCTATCGCCAGCTCATCCAGCTCCGAGGGCTTCAGGGGGCCGAGCAGGGCGGCCCCGCGGAAGGCGCCGATGGCTTCGGGGAAGAGGCCGGCGCGAGACAGCGTTTCCCCAAGGTGCACGCACAGGGCACGGTCCGGCTGCGCCATTCGGGCCAGCATCGAGCGGAGGAGCTCGGCCGCCGCCTGGTACTCTTTGATGAGGGAGGCCTCGGCTTCCTCCATCAGGCTCTCTGCCGAGAGCTCCTGCTCCTCGAGGCTGCAGCGCACGCCCTGGGGCTCCGGAGGCTGGGGTGCGGGCTCGGGGCTCATCGCGCGAAGAGGGGATGTCCGGCGACGAGAGCACGGCCTTCGCCTTTGCTGTCAGACACGCGCGTCAGCGGACCGGGTGCTCCGAGCCGCGGTGACCACGCAGGGACCGCAGAGCGCACGCGGCTCAGCCCCAGCTCGTGCGAGGCGCCGTGCGCGCCCCAGTGGCTCACGTCAGCCAAGTGACCGTGGGAGCTTGGCGACCCCCCCACAGCTTCTCGACTGAACCTTTTACTGCTCCCGGCTGGCGGCCCGCGCCTGTGCACGCGCACCTCGCCGCCGCCGCCAAGTCACTGCGCGTGCTCATGCGAATGTCCTAGTGTCCTCCAGCATCTCCGAACCTGCCTGTTTCCCAAGGTTCCGTTGCCTAGACAACCCTGGGCTCCTGAAGTTTCCAAACCCTTCAATCATCCCCAAGAGAATAAAACCCTGCAAAAGAGATCCTGCCCCTGCGCTCTCCAGTAACACAAGAATCCAGACAATAAAGCGCTCTCGCTCTCGCCCTCTCTCTCTCTCTCTCTCTCTCTCTCTCTCTCTCTCTCTCTCTCTCTCTCTCTCTCTCTCTCTCTCTCTCTCTCTCTCTCTCTCTCTCTCTCACACACACACACACACACACACACACACACATACAAATAATCCAATTTACGTTAAATGTCTTGAAAGTACAAATGAAGCTACAGTAATAGGAAGCGGACTGAAGGTCATGTGGGGCTGGGAGAAAGGACGTGTATGCAAAGTCACATGAGGAAATTTTTAGGGGCGATATCTTGATGGTCGTGGTGGTCTTGATAACAGGTAAGTGAGCAGTCAGACGAGGTAACCAAGGAAACCACAGCTCTGCCTCATGATACTTGGGAAGCCCCTTTGTAGTTAAATACTACAGTAGTTAAATACTAAAGACTGCAGTGAGTTTTCTCTCACTAAATGAAAAACCAAAGCACCCGGATATTTCCCACACGCGAGTGCGCTAACGAATTACAAGAAAAAGCTAAAATTAAAAATGTATATATAAAAAACCGGAAGTGATGCTGTCATGACGAGGTCAGTGAGGTTGGCAAGAGCTGAATATTTTTCTCTGCTAATATAAAGAATAAAAAAACGCAGGAGCCAGGCGGTGGTGGTGCACACCTTTAATCTCAGCACTCGGGAGGCAGAGGCAGGCAGATCTCTGTGAGTTCGAGGCCAGCCTGGTCTACAAGAGCTAGTTCCAGGACAGGAACCAAAAAAGCTACGGAGAAACCCTGTCTTGAAAAAAAAAAAAGG